CAGCCTCATTCTGTCACTGCCCCGTCCTTCCTCTCTGGCGTACGATGCCTCCTCTCCACACTGCGCGTGCTCGACCTCAAGATGCGATGGAATGAGTTGTCATAACCTGAAGTTATAGCAGAAAACTAGCCATGACGCACGCCAAGCAGAAGGAGCCATTACAGCCAAAGGGGTCGCTGTCTTGTTTTTAAAAATAAATACCAGTGGCTTTTCTGCACACCACTAATATTTCATAAAAAGGGAATGTGCGTCGGTAGTGGGTCTTACGACACCCCTCCCCCCTTTAAAAACCTTATTGACCTCTGTACAGGGTTGTAATGTAGTCATGCTCACACAGTATTAAATTACTGTGAATCTAGTTGTGTGCTGCTTGCCCACTATTTGCAGTCTTAAAATCGGCACAAACAGTATCATTCATACTATGATTTACGGTCACAGTTCTTAAGATACGTTTAACAGCAGCGCAGTTAGTCAGAAACACGGGCCACGTTTGATAAGCGTTCCTTGTTGTTATATGTTTTCAACACTAGAGGGCTCAACTCACAACCCCGGAACTACAATATAGGCGAATATAAAGAATTACCAAGTAAATTATGATTTTTATGTAAAGTGGAGACTGAAAGCATTCATCGTGATTAGTGCTTTTGTCGAGATTTATTCTGATACAAAAAACAGATAATTATATAGGACATTATCCCACAGATTCTGACATGTGGCCAGTATTAGTGAAAAAACGTCTAAGCGTTTTTCACTTGTCCCGTTTATTCTGTTTTCTTTAGTAATCTACCATAGAGTCCAAATTATCAAACTCAACGAATGAGTCTTACGTACCGTGGTGTCACGGGGGGATTTAATAACAGGCGATTTACACTTTTTTTGTATGCTTGTTATGAAAGACATAAATACTACGCAACCACCCATATTCTGTTCTCTACTCGGTGCATATTTATTTATTTATTGATAAACATCTTTCCATTCCTAAACTGAAAGAGATTGTGCTAGCGAGAGAAATTATTAAATGCGTACGGCTATTTGGTCCACCAGACAGAATCAATAAAAAGACTAATGGAGAATTTACTTTGGTCATTCCGTGCAATTATTTTCATTCCCGATAATGTAAACACTCGTTTCATTTCAAGGCAAAGATATAAGTTCTGTTGACACTGATGGTGCATTTCCGAGGGCTGGAGCGGCGGCGAATGTTTTTCATATCCGGATGAGCGGCAGGGGGCGCTATGCGTTCACTAATCCAGCTCCGCACAGCAGCCGATATTTCGTTATAATTATTATTTAGCCGATTGAACTCCAAAACACAACGTGCGTATGCTTCAAGGCACTGCGCCTCACTTTCGCCGCTGGAAGCGTGAGGTTCGCGTCGTTGCTTAATCTGTGGATTTACAAGTAAAATAGGCAACGGATGCATTTGTTACTAAGCATGTAAGTCTCTACCGTCTAAATACTGCAAAAGTAAGAGAAATATTATAATTAAAAACATAACATGTGTATAATGTAAATGTTTTTCAGACGCCGTCAAAACCAAATCATTCCGCTTTAATCTGAATTAGACCGTTTAAGATTTCATCTGGGTTATAGACCATCTTATATACAACTCCACAAGATCCGGAATACGTAACACTGAAAGGAGGATTTAGTTCATTATACATTTTATTTCATACAAGTTATGCATTTAAAAACTCCGGAAACGTAACATTACACCAAGTATTTTCATTGAACATTACTCCACTGAGCACAAACGGAAATTCGTCCCCGCTTAGCAGCAAAGCGATTTGCGGTGGGCTGTGTAACCGCATACCGGACGAAATTCATGGCCAAAATGTGTTCAAAAACAAATTACTAACATTGTTTCCAAATCACAGACAAAAGACGACTGAAAGAATATGACTGAAAGATTAAAACTAAATGCAAATCGCTACACCTATATTACAATCGTGTGCTCTTAATACTTGTTGAAATTAAGAAATTAATACTGTATCTCTAGATACACTGGGGGGGAAATGTACCCTCACCAATTCCTGTACAACACAGACACATTTCACAAAAGACAACACACTAACACTTAATTTCCCTAAATGACATTTCGCTTGAGCGTTTTCACTGCCCAGTTCATCTAATTAAATGTGTGGTTTAAAGGCATCTAAAGTTCCTAACAGCAATGTCTGCTTCTTCTACATCACTAAAGCGAAGAGCCACACATGGTATGCTTCCATGTATTAAGTACAAGTTGTCTGGTTGTTATGCTTGATGATGGATCCGGAACACGAAAAGTTCACGAGACAGGAGATCATGCTGGAGTCAGTGACCCAGAGCGTCTCACTGACCCGGAAGCCTTAGTGACCCGAGAGAGTCTCAGTCACCCAAGAGAGTCCCAGTGCATGGGGAGTCTCACTGGCCCAGAAGTCTCAGCACCTGGGAGTCCCAGTGACCCGGAAGTCTCAGTGACCCGAAAGAGTCTCAGTGCCTAGGAGTCTCAGTGATCCAAGAGAGTCTCAGCGCCCAGGTAGTTTCTGTCATCCAAGAGAATCTTAGCACCCGGGAGTCTCAGTGACCCAAGAGAGTCTCAATGATTCAAGAGAGTCTCAGTGCCCGGATAGTCTCAGTTATCAAAGAGAGTCTTAGTGCCCAGGAGTCTCAGGGACCTGAGAGAGCCTCAGCACCCAGGGAGTCTCAGTCACCCAAGACAGCCTCAGCGCCCCCTGCCTGACCAAGTAACATGCAGCACAACCTGAGTGTGAATACAACCGTGAATGTATTAGTACTAGTTGGACTGTTAAACACTTAATTTCAATATTTCAGATAAATCAACATCCACGTTTTATGACCCGCTGGATGAGTTACCACTTCAAATATGGAAAATAGTTGGAAGATTCGTACAGCTATGGCCTTAACCATGGGCACAGGGCTGCAGAGACGATTACTGTTCCATAATCTAGGCCTGTAGGTCTGTCAATTAACTTTCTGGACTTTAGACAGCTGGGAAAATATCTAGGGCCTATTTAAACACATTTTACAAATAGAGCCTTCTAATTTCGCGGAAATTAGTTTGCAGGGTACAAAGCAACCAAATCAAATATTATTGATTACTATGTCATTTACATTTGACGTCTAAACACGCCTTTAGAAAATGGCTGCCTTTCATTGGAAATAGTATTTTTTCCAGCTTTTACACGGATTATAGCGTGAAACCTGACAAAAATGAAATCCATTGAAATAATTGCAGCTCCACACTATCGTTTTGGGATGTAAAGCACATATTCACAGTCGGACTTACCTGCAGGAAACGCTGCCCTTTCCCTGAGTGAAGATGTCATACAAATACACAGGTCAACTCAGCATAATTTACGGCGACAACATCAGAAACAACCAAACCCTGGCAAAGGTAACATCACCGAACTTCATTAACTCGTAATTATAACTTTTTAAAACCTCTGGACTTCGGGTAATGAAGCGTGGCGTTTGCTTTATCCGCAGTATTCATTAATCACTGCACATTTACACTGGAGATGCCGATTTGCACCCGGGGGCTCGCAGTGATGCTAACAGCCAGCCACTGTCAGCTGCGCTGATCCCTCCGTCTGCAGTGGTCCGTGATGCATTTTCACTCCCTTCTTTCTGCACAGCATCCAAAGTAAAGATCCCCTCAATCATTACCTCCTAAGATGCTGAGAGTCTGTAACTCCTGGTCTTTCTAAAATGAAGCATCTATCAGCAACACAGAAGCACAGAAACACTTAAAGTCCATCGGTGAGAAAGACGGCTGACGGTCTCAGAGGCGGACAAGAGGCCCGCGGTCAGTTTGTGTCCGGATTTCCGTCCAGGAGCCTTAAAACGCGGCCATTGTGACTCACATACCAGAGACTACATACAATACTTACATACATTCTCGGATATGTTGCACAGACTGGAGTGATTTCAGGGGGTCGCATTTAAATAAAAATCATTAACATATAATTGAGTGATTTGGAATGGGGGGGTGAGGGCAAATAATTTCTAATCAAGGATCACTCAGGACATTTAGGGGAAAAACAGTAAGGTGGGACATCTGCGATATACACACTATGGCTTAAAGGTCTGACAGGTCACAGCAGGGAGTTAAAATCTATTAACGATTATGTCTGTTTGGGGGGCAGTCACGGGGAGGGCTCACTGCAGGGGAGTCTTTGTGGGGGGGGGCCTGGATTGTGAGCCATATGAGGTAAGTGTGGATGACATGAGCATGATGATGATGATGTCTGCTGGTCTGTGGGAGTCACGCGTGGTTGTGGTGGAGTTTACGCCGTCTCTGGTGTGTCAGGGAACTGGCTTATCTGGCTGGGAAAGATGAAGTAGCTCGAGTTTGTGTGTGTGTGTGTGTGTGTGTGTGTTAGTGTGTGTGGGGGGGGGCATGTACAATAAAATCTGTTATTTTCACTTTGTCGGGTCATTTTTCTCTGTCCTCACAAGGGGAAACTCGGTTTTATAAAAATATGTGACTGCAATCAAAAAATCAAAATAAAAATCAAAAATGCCCAAAGACATGAATTTTGTTTGGTTACTTATGGTTAAAGTCAGGCCTGGGTGGGGGTTAGGGGTGTCATGTTGGGATTAGGGTTATGCTTGATACCCGTGTGTGTGTGTGTGTGTGTGTTCTCAGGAAACAGTGCAAGGGAGGGACATAGAGGTTCAATAACACAAACTAGTCCCTCAGCCTGCAGCCATGGTTACACCATGCAGGCGTCTAACGTCCTTTGGGGGGGGGGGGGGTTGGGGGGGCTGCACAGGCTGACGAGGTCCAGCTTCAATGTGGCAGTGAAGTGCGTCACGCTCATGCACACCTGCTACGGCCATCGAGGCGTGTGATCACACCCCGCTCTGTCCCCCCCGGCCTCTCAGGGGGGATCCCGCTCCAGCCCATGGAGATGGAGGTGAGGGGTGCCTGGGAAGGGGGGTAGCCTGAGTGCTGACAGTGTGTGGCAGGCGGGGTGGGGGGGGGGGGGGGGGGGGTTTCACAGACCAGTCTCCCCATAAAGCCCATCATCCAAATTCTGGAAGGGACAGAGTTACATCTGTGGCCAGGGGTGGGGAGGTGGGGGGGGGTGACAAACACACACATTTCTGCACACACACGCTCCACGCCTCCTCGGGCCTAGAACCCGCAGCAGCCGGTGCTCCTGGTCTCCTTCTTGACGAACTCCTGCAGCTGGAACTTCTGCTCGCCCTCGTCCTTCATGGTCCTGTGCTTCAGCTCTCTGCATGTGCGGGAGCGTGTGGGGGCGGGGAAGGTGGTCATTTGGAGGATCCCGCGGGGTCTTCCAACCGCGATCCGGAACATTCGCTTGAGAAGGGCGACTTACATTTGCTCATTTAAAGACAGACCTGGGCTACCCTGAAGCACCACATCCAATGTCTCATTACTGTCGCCCCCTACTGGTAAATCCAGCTCACTACGGTTAACATGTTTACACAACAGTGTCAGCAAGCAATGAACGATTCTGGAGCTGAACAATAATAACGGGTTTAATTAAATTTAGAAACATTAACTTAATTAAACGTCAGAGAGCTACCAGGAAATCACTCAAGGGATTTAAAGAAAAATACTGGGCCACCTAGTAACAGCAGAGGCCACACCCATTGTCTCATTATTGCCCCCTACTGGTAGATCCACTTCACTGCGGCCAACATGCCCGTTAGACTGTCTGAGGAATCTGAATGGTACTGCCCTCCCTGGCCTGCCCAGGCTTTGGCTGACTTACTTGGCGATGGCGGTGAAGGCCAGCTCCACATTCATGCCCGACTTGGCGCTGGTCTCCATGAAAGGAACGCCATATTCCTACAGCCCCAAAAAACAAGGTGCGGAGAAAAAAGAGAAAGAACCACTTTCAAGTCCAGCTGGTTGGGTGATGGAAGGAAGCAGTCAGGAGGAGACCGAGGCAGCTCTGCAGAGGAAACTTTCACAGAAAGGCAGGGCTGCTTTGCTTTCGGAAGCACAGGCTGGCCTCTCTCATCCAGTAGAGGAAAACTCCCCCAGTGATCTCCGGTTTTTACTCTGCTCAACTCTCAGCTTCAGGCTGAAGCGTTCAGGGGCTTGTTTGGGTCCTACTGACGGACGTCAGACCTGACACACAAGATCCAAGAATCGAGATGTTTTTACTGCAAAGTGCATCAAGCGTGTTGGAATGTGTGCTCGCGCAGCCAAACCCCATGATAAACAAATAACATACAAATAATATATACTAAAGAGATAATTCATGTACAGCAACGGTGCTGCGTGTGACACAGTGGGTTAGGATGCTCTGACAGTCATGAAAAGGTTGCTTGTTCAAATCCCAGAGTCAGCAGAGTGATGTCATCATCGGGGGCCCTGAGAGAGGCCCTTAAGCCACCATTGCCTACAGGGGTGCTGGACGCTGGCCGGCCCTGCACTGTGACCCCAAAACTTCCCTTAAGTGTAAACATCTCACAGAGAGCAAGCTGGGATACGGAAAAGATAAGGATGAATGAAGTATCACTATTCTATTGTAAAACATCACGCTTCACATGTAGCGCAGATGGGAGCAGTTGACTTAGGTGCTGATGATGTGGAGAGTTTGGTGGAACAACAATATTGCAAAGTGCCCCTCAATGAGCCCCGAGAGTTACCTAACAGACGCGAATGAGGTCAGCAGTCAGTGAGGGGGAGTGGCATGTGGACCTGTGATGGGGGGGGCGGAGCTAAAACAAGGTGAGGCTGACTCGGGCCAATCCCATCACGCTGCTGTAACACTACAGCTAAAGCAGCAAATCGCAAAGGGAAAGGCAGATAAGATGGGCAGAGTGAAAACAAATCAGATGAGGGCAAACTCACCTTGGCCAGCCTCTCTCCCTCCTCCCTCTTCACCACCCTCTCGTGTGCAGCGTCGGCCTGAAGGAGCCCAGAAAGAGTTACATCCTCCACACCCTCGCACCTCCCCGTACACAGAAGCTCTGTGTTATCTCTCTCGGTGGACAGCTGGGGTGACTTGGCCACACAATGATGCCAATACACAGTGAAGGATTCTGCGACTGAATAATAATCAAGGGTACATTTAAATGAAGAAACATTAACAAATTAATTAAACGGCAGAGAGCTTCATACGTCCACCCCTGGGATCTAGCCTGGTCTCGTTAAATCTCCTGCACTAATCCCAGCCGTGGGCATCAATCTCCCGCTGCACAGTAAACTGCTGACCCTCCTCCTGCATCGATCGGAGTACTTACCAGGGTCCCTCATTCGCACGCTCGCGGTTTCCCATTTACATGAGGGAGATCTCCCATAATGCCTCTCACCTTGTTGCCCAGCAGCATCAGCACCACGTTCTGCTGGGCATACTCATGGATCTCCGTCAGCCAAGCCTGCGTGAGACAAAGAGCCGCGGTGATGGAGACGCCCACGGCCCATTAAAAACCCAGAGTAATAACACCTACGAATTTTACAAGCTCTTTCACAGGACGACCTGTTCAGGCTTTCGCGGATGTTTATTCATCAATGCCAAAACAGAATCCAAAACTCAAAGTCGTCGACTGGGAATCAGCCAGGAAACCAAAACAGGGCAGAACAATTTCAGAACAAAGTCAAGAAGCAGGCGGACGGCCAAGAATGGAACGGCAACTATCAGTCCAAGAGGGAGAAATGCCCAGGGAACTCACAATACCTCACAATTAATGAGGACAACAAGCAGTATTTACCCAATTGCACAGGAAATGCTTAACAGGTGGATTTAATAAGCCAGCAAACCAGTGAAGATGATCGGGGAAGGGTGGCTAGTTTTGTCGAAGATCTGGACTGGATCTCGGAACTGGGTGAGGACTGGCTGGAAGCCCTGACATACTCCTAAAGATCACACCCCAGGGGTGCTGTCCCACCCAGAGAGACAATGTCGTTGTACAGCACAGTTACTGTAACGGCAGTCTCAGCAACCAAGGGAGACCACATCACTGCACAAGCCATCGAAGCTCACTGGACTTCACCTGACCCCCCCCCCCCATCTCCTCTCTATTCAGGTGGAAGGAGATGAAGTACAGGGCTGAGAGACACGGCACAGCTGTACCCCCCACTCCTGGGGTATGAAGCAGAAACACAGCAGCTGTTTATCACTCCCCATACGCAGCCTCACATGATCCCATCCCTCAAAGTTACACAATCTCCCAAACTGTGCCTATGACATGACAAGACCACATAACAGCCCACCCTAGAGACATGGCGGACTCTCGGCTAACAATTCCTGCTCTTTGCCTTGTGGATGTCTACTGCCATTTTAGGCATCAAATGGAAGTGTTGCTTATGTTTGTCACTTCCCAGTCACATCACTGCAGTCCCCACTATGACAGACGTTCTCTGCCTTCCAATCTCAGGTGACAGTGATCGGAAATGTCACCCATGTTCATGAAAGGCCATGGCTTGTGGGAGGCAGTGACAGGCACATGTGGAAGTGGCACCACAGCTGAAAGCCTAGGGTGATAGCTGGCCATCTTTAAATCAGTGTGCACACATGCTGGGTAGCATACATCTCTCTGAAGCGCAACAAATCACAAAACAGATCCGTACTTTACAAAAGTCCTGCTCTGAATGGGTCAGTGACCATGTTATGCGGGGGCAGGAGAAAAAAGTAGGAACAGGAGTCAAGATGAGATTATTAGAGGCAACGGGGATGGGAGTATCAGAGGCAGCAGGGATGGGAGTATCAGAGGCGGCAGGGATGGGAGGATCAGAGGCAGCTGGGATGAGATTATCAGAGGCAGCAGGGATGGGACTATCAGATGCATTAGGGATGGGAGTATCAGAGGCAACAGAGATGGGAGTATGAGAGGCAGCAGGGATGGGAGTATCAGATGCAATAGGGATGGGAGTATCAGAGGTGGCAGGGATGGGAATATTAGAGGTAGCAGGGATGGGAATATTAGAGGTAGCAGGGATGGGTGAAATAGGAGCATAATGCAGACCAGCATGAAAATGACATTGCCACTGGGCTCGGGGGATCAGCTGTGTTCACTAGGGCTGGGAGGAAGCGACACCGGGAACAAGCGTCACGTGGCCCGAGTGGTTCCGAATGGCCTCTAAGTGAAGCCTCGAGTTGCTCTTTGTGCGTTTTTACATGGAATCAGAGATAAAGAGACCAAACGAAAGTGCTGTTGACATACAGAGAAAGAGAAAGAGAAAAGAAACACTCCATTCAAATCCAAACTACAGATTAGCCAGCGTAGGCAGGAGCATTATCATTCATAATTACCATAATAGTTTAATTGGCCACTGCAGCATCCCACAGCTAAATCACAAACCACTCACGCTATATTAATTTGGCCTCTATCTTATTTTCTCTGCTCCCAGATGGCCTTGGTATCTGTGTTTTCATTTTCTTGGACAAAGTGAGCTCTGCACCAATCAGATGGCTGGAAGGGAATTGGAGGGGGGGGGGGCTGTGTTTAAACCCCAGCAACACTAAGCCCCAGCTTCAAGAGTCCGTCATTATTTTCAAAGGCTCACAAAAGACGTGAAGAGGGGATGGGGAATAGTCGAGTGCCATGGAAACTTGATGACCAATGACGATTCGGGAGGCGTGGCCAAAGAGAATGCAAGTCCAAGCTTAGTGGCCTATGGGGGGCGCCTGTCACAGTATGTTATGTCACCTGCTAGCACTGTCAATGAAACATTGGGTCATATCAACACATCAGTACGAGGGTGGATGTTGATTAAAGCACCCAATCGCGTCACTGGCTTTTATGGTTGGAAAAACATGGCCCATATTTGTGGGTTGGGTGATTATGGGAGTAATAAATGCGATAAATGTGATGTATGACGAGCGGCCTGGTAAAGCAATCAAGTTTTAATGGTGCGGAGTTTCATTTCAACTGTACAATATGATCCTCTACACCTCATGCTGTCAGGAAAAACGTCATCTAGTGCCAATCGCTCACAGGAAAGCCGTCACACCTGGGACAGGGGATGGGGGAGGGGGAGGAGGAGGAGGAGGAGGAGGAGGGACACGCCTGCCTGGGGCCTAAGTGTGCAGGTGTGCGTTTCACCACATAATTTCCACTGCCGATGACCTTTGATCAAGGGATCTGATTCAAAAACAAGTAACATGAATAAAAAGTCAACTGACAGAATGTTTTTTTCCCCCAGCTGCAGATGACTAAACTCACCTTTACGGAAGCTTTAAGGCCAAGCAGGAACGAAGGTGAAGTAAACCTGCCCCACTGCCCTGTTCCTTACCAGGCACATACAGTACAGTCAGGCTTACAGTGTCCTGTCTGCCACTGGACATGGTAACCAAGGTAACATTACACTGCAATAAATAAGCACAGATAACCCTCCAAGGTCACACACCTCCATGAGTAAAAGGAGCCCCACTGGCCCAGAAGAGGGTGCCACCCCCTACTCTGAGACTGGTTTGTGATCCGAAACATCTGAAGGCTTGAGAGTTTAAATGTTTTGGGAAAATGGAAGAAATGGAAGTAGTTTCGTTTTTTGTATCCCTATAGAGTGGATCATTTCTGAGAATGCAGAGTCACTCTTCTCGCTAATATACCTCCTGTTTACAGAGATGACCCCACAAAGTCTCATCCAGGGGCAGATCTAAGCTGTGGTCACCCCTGTTGCCACCCTACATCAAAATAGTAATAACAATCTTAATAAACATCTTTACACAGCTACAGTGAGAGGAAGTCTCTGGATTCTAAGATAGATCGAGGTAATCGCAGGACCTAAGACAGATCCCTGGGGAACCCCCGTATTTCAGCTCAGTGTTATTTCAGGTCCAGAAGGACTGTAAAGGACACCTTAGATGACAGGAGCTGCTGCAAGATGCCAGCAAACCCTGGTGTCAGAAGCAACTAGAAGCACATTCAGAGAACACAAAAAACACAAAAATCGAATCAAAGAACTTGCCAAAAAAAGAAAGCAAGTTCTGGTTTAAAATTTTTAACTGGGACTGACGAAGTGCATTAAGTTCTTTTCACGGTTACCAGAAAAAAATGCAAATGTCCCCGCCAGCGGGTCCGCTGACTCCCAAGGGTTAAAAGCACTGGTGTAAGTAGGATAATTATAGTCTTAATTAGAGGAAATTAAAGCAGCTCATTCTCAGCTGTCAAAATATAGAAGTGCTTAATTAAGTACTGAAAATGAAATCAACAGCTATATACAGTATATACACTCACCTAAAGGATTATTAGGAACACCTGTTCAATTTCTCATTAATGCAATTATCTAATCAACCAATCACATGGCAGTTGCTTCAATGCATTTAGGGGTGTGGTCCTGGTCAAGACAATCTCCTGAACTCCAAACTGAATGTCAGAATGGGAAAGAAAGGTGATTTAAGCAATTTTGAGCGTGGCATGGTTGTTGGTGCCAGACGGGCCGGTCTGAGTATTTCACAATCTGCTCGGTTACTGGGATTTTCACGCACAACCATTTCTAGGGTTTACAAAGCAATGGTGTGCAAAGGGAAAAGCATCCAGTATGCGGCAGTCCTGTGGGCGAAAATGCCTTGTTGATGCTAGAGGTCAGAGGAGAATGGGCCGACTGATTCAAGCTGATAGAAGAGCAACTTTGACTGAAATAACCACTCGTTACAACCGAGGTATGAAGCAAAGCATTTGTGAAGCCACAACACGCACAACCTTGAGGCGGATGGGCTACAACAGCAGAAGACCCCACTGGGTACCACTCATCTCCACTACAAATAGGAAAAAGAGGCTACAATTTGCACGAGCTCACCAAAATTGGACAGTATACTGTATATACACAGTATATATATGCATAGGCAGCATAGAATTATGGGTAAATACTGAGATTGACAGACACAGAGAAGATTAAAAAAAAGAATTTATTAGAGGCCAACAAAGAGCTGTATCACACAATTACTGGACCAATTCTGCACATTTTTAAAGCTTGTGGGTCTGCTAACTAATCAGGACATAATTTATCCCCCTCCCCCAAGAGGGAAAGAGGGGGTCTTATCAAACTGCACATTAGCAAAACTTATTACATAAGCTTGTTACATAAAACAGAAAGAAAGGATATTTAACCAATGGCAAGGCACATTGCAGCAGACCAGAGAGGTGGCTGAGTGAATTGTGGGGGAAAAGAAAACTCATGGCACCGTGATAGGTCAGACACACATGCCAATCAAGGCAGCCAATCAGGAACAGAGGGCGATACATAACCTGAGTGTAGCCAGCTGTTACTTTTTTTTATCCAAGGAAGCCTTATAACCGTCTAACTGCAAACCAGCATTTGAGGCCAGACAGGTGACTGCGATGAAATTGTACGAGGAGAGGATGAGAGGGAGAGGATGAGGAGTCTCTTTCCAACCACAGGTGAAAATCGGGGGAGTGATTCATAGCCTGGTATA